AGCATTTACAAATTGTTTTTTTTTTCTTTTTTGATTTTGCTAAGCATCCATTAGCGGTAGCCGTCAGTCAGTCAGTTGGCTAGTGAGCCAAGCAACCAGCCAACCATCATGACCTTAGTAGCCCTAATCGAAAAAAAGGTGTGAAATGAAGCAGGTACCATCACTTAACAGACGTCGATAAATTATTGATAATAGACACATTGGGGGATTGGACTGTGAAATTCAGGGGTCATGTGGAAATCAGAAACTTCAAAAAACTAACTGAAAAGAATGAAAATATTTTTTTTTAAAATCCACGCGTATAGAATAGTTGAATAAATATTTATTAAAAAATCCACGCGTATCGAAAAGTTGAAAAAATATTTTGTAAACAATCCACGTCAATGGAATAGTTGAAAAAAACATATTTTTTTAAAAAATCCACGCTTGTGGATTTATTGAAAAAATATATTTTTTTTTTAAATCCACGCTTGTGGATTAATTGAAAAAAATATTTTTTTAACAAATCTAGGTTTGTGGATTAACTGAAAAAATATTTTTTAAAAAATACAGGTTTTGTGGATTAGTTGAAAAAAATATTTTTTAAAAAATTCACGTTTATGGAATAGTTGAAAAAATATTTTTTAAAAAATCCAGGTTTATGTAATAGTTGAAAAAATATTTTTTAAAATATCAACGTTTATGGAATAGTTAAAAAAAATATTTTTTAAAAAATCCGCGTTTATGGAATAGTTAAAAAAATATTTTTTAAAAAATCCACCTTTTGGAACAATTCAAAAAATATTTTTTAAAAAATCCACGTTTATGGAATAGTTGAAAAAATATTTTTTAAAAAATCCACGTTTATGGAATAGTTGAAAAAATATTTTTTAAAAAATCCACGTTTATTAGAAACCTGAAAAATATTTTTTAAAAAATCCACGTTTATTAGAAACTTGAAAAAATATTTTTTAAAAAATCCACGTTTATTAGAAACTTGAAAAAATATTTTTTAAAAAATCCACATTTATTAGAAACTTAAAAAAATATTTTTTAAAAAATCCACGCTTATGGAATAGTTGAAAAACAATTTTTTAAAAAATCCACGCTTATGGAATATTCGAAAAAAAATAATTTTTAAAAAATTCACGTTTATGGAATAGTTGAAAAAATATATTTTTATTTAAAAATCCACGTTTATGGAATAGTTGAAAAAATATTATTTAAAAAATCCATGTTTCTGGAATAGTTAAAAAAATATTTTTTTAAAAAATCAACGCTTATGGAATAGTCGCAAAAATATTTTTTAAAAAATCCACGCTTATTGAATAGTTGAAAAAATATTTTTTAAAAAATCCACGCTTATGGAATAGTTGAAAAAATATTGTTTAAAAAATCAACGTTTATGGAATAGTTGAAAAAATATTTACTTAAAAAATCCACGTTTATGGAATAGTTAAAAAAATATTTTTTAAAAAATCAATGATTATGGAATAGTTGAAAAAATATTTTTTAAAAAATCCACGTTTATGGAATAGTTAAAAAAATATTTTTTTAAAAAATCCACGTTTATGGAATAGTTAAAAAAATATTTTTTGAAAAATCTACGTTTACGGAATAGTTGATAAAATATTTTTTTAAAAAATCCATGTTTATGGAATAGTTGATAAAATATTTTTTAAAACATCCACGTTTATGGAATATATGAAAAAATATTTTTTAAAAAATCCACGGTTATTAGAAAATTGAAAAAAATATTTTTTAAAAAAAACTCACGCTTATGGAATAGTTGAAATAATATTTTTTAAAAAATCCACGTTTATGGAACAGTTGAAATAATATTTTTTAAAAAATCCACGTTTATGGAACAGTTGAAAAAATATTTTTTAAAAAATCCACGTTTATGGAATAGTTGAAAAAATATTTTTTTAAAAAATCAACGCTTATGGAATAGTCGAAAAAATATTTTTTAAAAAATCCACGCTTATTGAATAGTTGAAAAAATATTTTTTAAAAAATCCACGCTTATGGAATAGTTGAAAAAATATTGTTTAAAAAATCAACGTTTATGGAATAGTTGAAAAAATATTTACTTAAAAAATCCACGTTTATGGAATAGTTGAAATAAAAATTTAAAAAAAAATCCACGTTTATGGATTAGTTGAAAAAATATTTTTTAAAAAAATTAAGCTAATGGAATAGTTGAAAAAATATTTTTAAAAAATCCACGTTTATAAGTAATTTAAAAAAATATTTTTAAAAAATCCACGTTTATAGGTAATTAAAAAAAAATATTTTTAAAAAATCCACGTTTATAAGTAATTTAAAAAAAAGATTTTTAAAAAATCCACGTTTATAAGTAATTTAAAAGAAATATTTTTAAAAAATCCACGTTTATAAGTAATTTAAAAAAATATATCTTTAAAAAATTCACGTTTATAAGTAATTTTAAAAAATCCACGTTTATTAGAAACTTGAAAAAATATTTTTAAAAAATTCTACATTTATTAGTAGCTTCAAAAAAATATTTTGTAAAAATCCACTTTTAATTAGTAGCTTCAAAAAAATATTTTTTAAAAAATTCACGTTTATTAGTTGCTTTGAAAAAATATTTTTTAAAAAAATCCACGTTTATTGCTAGCTTCAAAAAATATTTTTTAAAAAATCCACGTCTATTACTAGCTTCCAAAATCCAAAAACTTCAATTTTTCAAAGAAAAAAAATAAATTCCAACTTGTATTTTTTCACCTCCTCCCCAATAAATTTTTTCTTTATATCGTTTTGTTAAAATACAATTTTGCCACACTTTGCAACTCAATTGGATTAAAAATATGTGTCAGTCACTTCAAAGTAAGTCAACAGCAGCAAATAATGCCTCAAGCCTTGTTAGCTCAAAAACGACCGATTGAATGAAAAAAAATGCAATTAAATGCAAAAAAATTTTAAGTTTACTTAACAATTGTAGTGAAATATTGTTAAATTGTTGTTACACTTTGTGTCAATGTTAATTTTTAATATTTTTGCTACCAATTGATAAAACAAATGGCGTTATGAAAAATAAAACGCATCATTTAAGAGCAAACACATTTACCCGAACATCGCCGATGTGATATTAGACAAGCACTTGTTGTTGTTTGGATGTCAGTCAGTCAGTCGATCAAACTCAAAACCAAAATAAAAACCAACAGACAAGTCACATATTTTACAATTCGTACGATTTACCCACTGAACCACATGGTGAGACAGTCTGCAGCGAAGCAGAGAAAAAATCCAAGTCAATAGATCAACAACTTCTTGTTCCACTATGCCACCACCCGTATGGCCATAACCATAGATGATATCATTTATTGGTGGTTTTCCACACAATACCCGACTTTTTTCGTCAATACTCTGTTATGGTGTTGTGGGGCTGTGTGGCCACCACCAACATCGCACTTGCCACTTTTCCACTTGTGAATGAAAAAAAAAAACAGCCCCGCCACCAATTTTGATGCCCGTTTAATGTGGCGCGACATTAAATGTTGCATGAAAACATGGAGCTGGTTACCAACGTCATCATGCCTCCCCATGTGATAGCTAACTGGAAACCATCTTTGTTGTTGTCATAACAACAAAATGTAATTTGCCATACAGACACAAATATTTGATGTGAGAAATTTGTTTTTTTTTTCAAATACCAATATTATATAATAGAACTTGTTGTTGTCATGGAGATACAAATTCTTCCGGTTGTTGTTATTTTTTGAATGGCTTTCAAAGGTGGGGGTAATACAAAATATATTGACCCATATTTTTACTCTCCTTTAAAGGTCAATGATTTTCGATCACGTTTGTGTCTTAAGTCTTTTGTTTCAGGCAAAATCCAATAAAAAATGGAAATTTTCTTCTGTCTGTGATTTGAGGTCAAGTTTTTGTCTTAAGTCTTTTGATTATAATGAATTTGAAGAAATTGAAGCATACTTTGAGGCAAATTCAATAAAAACAAGCAAAATTATTTCGCTAAAAAATAATTTTTCAACTATTCTAAAAACGTGGATTTAAAAAAAAAAATATTTTTTCAACTATTTTATAAACGTGGATTTTTTAAAAAATATTTTTTCAACTATTCCATAAACGTGGATTTTTTAAAAAATATTTTTTCAACTATTCCATAAACGTGGATTTTTTAAAAATATTTTTTCAACTATTCTATAAACGTGGATTTTTTAAAAATTATTTTTTCAACTATTCCATAAACGTGGATTTTTTAAAAATTATTTTTTCAACTATTCTATAAACGTGGATTTTTTAAAAATTATTTTTTCAACTATTCTATAAACGTGGATTTTTTAAAAATTATTTTTTCAACTATTCTATAAACGTGGATTTTTTAAAAATTATTTTTTCAACTATTCCATAAACGTGGATTTTTAAAAAAAAAATATTTTGTCAACTATTCCATAAACGTGGATTTTTTAAAAAAAATATTTTTTTACTATTCCATAAACGTGGATTTTTTAAGAAATATTTTTTCAAATATTCCATAAACGTGGATTTTTCAAAAAATATTTTTTCAAATATTCAATAAACGTGGATTTTTTAAAAAATATTTTTTCAAATATTCCATAAACGTGGATTTTTTAAAAAAATATTTTTTTCAACTATTCCATAAACGTGGATTTTTTAAAAAAAATATTTTTTTCAACTATTCCATAAACGTGGATTTTTTAAAAAAATATTTTTTTCAACTATTCCATAAACGTGGATTTTTTAAAAAAATATTTTTTTCAACTATTCCATAAACGTGGATTTTTTTAAAAAATATTTTCTTTCTGTGATTTTAACTCACGTTTGTGTCTTAAGTCTTTTGTTTGCTATGATGATTATGGAGTGGCTTGTTAATAAATTAAAGCATACTTTTAGGCAAAATAAAATAAGAATAAAAAGGGAAACCTTCCCATTTCTTAAGTCCTTTATCTGAATTGCTGAGAAATTAAAGCATACATTGTATAATATCCTTCTTTTCTATTTGCAGACCAACCTCTCTAATCCCCCCCCCCTCTCCCCCTCCACCACACACACACATTCACCACAATGAAACGACGGAAAGTTCACATCTACTTTGCCAGCCTACAGACCAGCCTTAGTCTGATAGCCCTCAGCTCTCTGCTACTCTGCCAACAAACAGATTCCGCAATAATACCCCCACCCTGGAGTGATCCAGATAAAAATCCATGTGCCACCATGCCCGGCGGCTGGCAATTACTCTATTGGCCACCATTGAAGAAATGTTTTAAAATTTTTAGTCTAGGTTATCCCTGCCCCGAGACAATGGAACTGAGTCCCACAATTCCCATTGGGTCGAGTAAGAAACGCCAAATGTCAAATGCCCCTGTGGCCGAATGTCGTTGTCCGCCGGGCACTGCGTTAAGTGGGCAGACCAACAAATGCTATAAAATCTATGAGCGAGGTCCATGTGCCAAGGGTCAGTATTTTAATCCGGTAGCAGAAATGCAACAGGGTAATAAGAGGTAAGTTCGAAAGAGGTTACAATTCGAAGGATTTTTATGATTTTTATTTTTCCGCCTCATTTTAGGACCACAAATCGTTGGGGTGTTTGCAAAACACCCAAGACATGTCCAGAAAATCAGCTGTTCTGGCCTCAGGATGGTAAATGTTATAGCCGGCTAACCAAAGGTCCCTGCACCCGGGGAAAATTATTAGTTTCAAATGAGGATGGTCTGGCGGAATGTAGGGTGAGTTGCAACAAAAAAACGATTTTTTTATGAAAAAGTGTCCACCTCAGGTCCTCTGTAATTTAACAGGGGGTCTATAAAATCTGCTGTAAGATAACATAAGGAATCCAATGACTTTTTAAAGTCATTAGAAGTCCCCTTAGACTTCTGTAAGTTAACAGGAGACCTTTCAGGGCCACTGTAAAATAACAGAAGTCGCCAAAAACTTCTGTAAGTTAAGAGAAGTCACCTCCAGATGTCTTATATTTAAGAGAGGACATTCAAGAATTTCTTTGAGGTAATAGAGGACCGCTACGGAATTCTGTAACTTAACAGAGGGATTTCTGTAATTTCACGACGTAACAGAAGATCACTAAGGAGTTCTGTATGCTGACGGAATGTCCCTCAGGACTCCTGTTAATTTACAGACGGCCCAAGAACTGCTGCAGAGCCTCGCTAACAAGTTATGTAAGTTAACAGAAGACCCCTACGGTCTTCAGTAAGTTAACAGAAATCCTCCAATGGCCTCTGTAAGTTAACAGAACCCCTTAATTAACAGAAATCCTCAATTTTCCTTCTTTTAAGTTCTGCAAATTTAACAGGTGCCTTGTAAATACTTCTCTAAATTAACAGAATACGTCGAAAAACTTATGTTGGTTAACAGAAGAATTTTAAAGTATTTACTAGGTTAACAGAAGCCCCTTGCGAATTGCTGTAGGTTAAAAGGAAATCTTTAAAGTTTTCTGTAGGGTAACAGAAGACCTCTAAGGACTTCTGTAACTTAACAGAAGTCAACTAAAAACCTCTGTTAGTTAACAGAGGGCTTTTGTTGACTTCTGTAAGTCATCGAAACAAATCTCCTGACGTCTGTACGGTAACAGATGGCTTCTTTGAATTTCAGTAATTTAACAGAAGGCTTCCGGGGCTTTCGGGGACGGTAACAGATGGCTTCTTTGAATTTCAGTAATTAACAGAAGGCTTCTGGGAACTTCTGTAAGCTAACAGAAAACCATTACAGAATTAGGATAAGGTCTAAGGTCTTTTGTAAATCGACAGAAGGCATATAAGTACTTCTGGATGATAATAAAAAGGCCTCTCAATACTTATTTAAGGTAACCCAAAGCCTCTCAGAGCTCCTGTAAATTAACAGAAGACCTCCCCGGCTTCATACCCGACCTCCGAGATAGCGGGTGTCTTGGCAGAAGGCTTCCGTGTTGTTTTTTATAAAATAACACAATGTCTCTGAGGTCTTTGGCTAGTTTTTAGAAGACTACAGAGGTCAGGCTTTCAAAAAGGCTTCACAGATCTCTCTGTACATTGGAATTTGACCTCATTTCTCCTCTCTTTTTTGTATTTCCAGTGCGAAGATTCTGGCGAATTGAAACCCTTTTATTATGATTTGGAAGATAGCTGCCATGAACACTTCACAAAGGGACCCTGTTCAACACCGGGGCACTTATTTTTGCCCGGTGGCATTTGTGATTGTCATCGGAGGTTACCGCATTATCATGAGGACTACCGGATGTGTTATGAATTAAGTAACAGGCCCAGAATTTTTTTCCCTAAAAAATTAAAAATTTTAAAATAAAACCTATAATTCCTTGCAGATACCCCTGGACCTTGTCCGCCGGGTAATATCTTTACCCTGCCGGAAAATGTAACGGGTGGAGAAGATGAAAGGGATTTGAGCACATTGATGGCAAGAGCCCAGTGCCAATGTAAGGAAGGCTATGTACCATGGTCGGATGGTTTCTGTTATCGCCTGTACACTCGGGGACCCTGCGACCAGAATGAGTTCCTGGTGAATGCCACAACTTGTGTGGAGAACTTCTGTGGTAAAAATCGCCTATATTTCCCTGATCAGAAGCAATGTTATCGCATTGGTTCACAGGGACCCTGTGATCTGCATCAAGTTGTAGTTTTTGATTTCACGGCCCGACCCTCCGTGGATGGTATCTCGTACAATGGCATGTGTGGTTGTGCTGGTATTATAATGAATTTAGATCAGCAGTGTTCAAAACCCTCGGAGCCAATGACAAATACTTGCGAATCCACACCGGGTATGGTGGAGCTGGAGGGAAATTGTTATAAATTATATTCCAGGGGTCCATGTGGCCCGGGACAATGGTTGGAACCCATCAAATCTGTAACTACTTCGGATACAGCCAGGCGCATACAAACCAAGGCGAAATGTGTTTGCCGACCAGGCTATACGGCCGTCGTGAGTCCCGAGAATTCCACCACAACCATAGAACGTTGCAATGCACCCACCGTGGGTTTGGCCAGGTATTTAACGGAAAATTCCCTACAACAAAGACAAAACTCTAAGTTTCCCATAACCCTGTTTTCAACTAATTTTCCAAATCGTAATTTCTAAGACACCAACACCATGTTGTACAAAAAAACAAAACAAAACTATGCATGTTTCTTGGAAAAATACAAAAAAAATGTGATTTACTTTCTCTATCTGTTCTACTGCCATGGATCTGCTATTCTTGCCCTGATTTTCCTACTGTGCATGTTTCAAAACCTATGTATTCTTTTTCGTCCACCATTATTTGTTTTGTATTTATTGTTCAAATTTGTTAATTTAAATTGAAATTGTTTTTTGTTTTAATTTTTTAGATGGTTTTTAGAAATATTCGGCTAAGAAAACCGCTCTCACACACTGAGCCTCACGAATCAACCAACAAAATTATTATTTTTTAATTTTTTTTTTTTTAAGTTTTAATTTTAAGCAAAAGCTTTTAGTTTTAAGTTAGGTTACGCCTAGGCTAAGTTTGTGCCATTATTAATAGAAATAAAAAAACAGTCGAAAAAAAAAATTCTCTAAAAATTATTTTTACTCAAGGAGTCATTTTTCAAATATGGGACACAATTTTGGTCCTGGCGTGTTCTGGCGGAAGAAGTTCGTCATTTTTGAAAGTAGAGTGTCTGACCTTTAAATTGATGTGACTTACAACGATGTAGCTTGAAAAGTTCCTGAGCTATGGCTAAATAAAGACCAGTGTAAAATTTCCCCAAAATGCTGGTCTATTTGAGTAGCCTACTTCTAGGAGCCATAACATTGAAAATACTTGGTTTATCCTATTAAAAATCACTGGATTTAGAATATGATCTTTCACCTTTACATTGAAGTTAATTTTGTTAGTGAGCTCAAAAAGTCTTCAAGTTATGACAAAATAAAGATAAGCGTAAAAATTCCCTGAAATGTGAAGCTCATTTAGTAGCCTACTTTTAGGGGCCATAACTTTGGAAGTAGTCGGCGTATCTTCATAAAATAAAATAAATTTTAAGGAAAGCACTTTCATCTTTACAATGAGATCAGTATAATTGCTTTAACTCAAAAAGTTCACGAAATATGGCCGAAGGAGGTCAAGTTTTAAATTTTGCCAACATGTGGACTTATTTGAGTAACCTCCTTCTAGGGGTCATAACTTCAAAAGTAATCGGTTTATCTCCATAAAATAAATTGAATTTAAGAGAATGTCCTCCACCCTAACAATGAAATCAATATTATTAATGTAGCTTAAAAAGTTTCCGAGATGCGGCCCAAAGAAGTCATGTTTAACATTTTGCCAATATATGGGTCTGTTTGAGTAACCTCCTTCTAGGGTCCATAACTACGGAAGTAATCGGTTTATCTTTATGAAGTAGATAGTATTTAAGAAAAAGACCTCCACCTTAACAATGAAATCAATTTCATTATAGTAGCTCAAAAATTTTCAGAGATATGGGCCAAGGAAATCATGTTTTCAATTTTGCCAATATATGGGTACATTTGAGTAACCTCTTTCTAGGGGCCATAATTTTGGAAATAGTTGGCTTATCTTTATAAAATAAGTTGCATTTAAGAGAAGGATCTCCACCTTAACAATGAAATCAATTTCATTAAGGTAGCTCAAAAATTTTGGAGGTTGCGGCCCAAGGAATTCAAGCTTTAAATTTTGCCAATATATGGGTCTATTTGAGTAACCTCCATCTAGGGTCCATAACTTCATAAGTAATCGGTTTAACTTCATTAAATAAATTGCTTTTAAGGGAAAGACCTCCACCTTAACAATGATATCAATTTTATTAACGTAGCTCAAAAAGTTTTCGAGATGTGGCCCAAGGAAGTCATGTTTTAATTTTTCTCAATATGTGCGCCTATTTGAGTAACCTCATTCTAGGGGTCATAACTTCATAAGTAATCGCTTTATCTTCATGAAATACTTTGCATTTAAAGGATGGACCTCCACATTAACAATGAAATAAGTTTTATTAACGTAACTCAAAAAGTTTCCGAGATATGGACAAAGGAAGTCATGTGTTTTGGTTTTGCCTATATGTGGACCTTATTGAGTAACCCTCTTCTAAGGCCCATAACTTTATAAGTATTCGCTTTAACTTCATAAAAACCAATGGATTTCAAGGAAGGTTCTCACGCTTTACATTGAATTATATTTCATTATTGTTTCTTAACAATACTCAAAGATATGGCTTAAGGAAGACATGCATCGAATTTTGCTAAATTATGGATCTATTTAAGTAACGCTCTTTTAGGGTCTATAACTTCGTAAAAAATCGGTGTATCTTCCATACTAATACTAAGCATAAAATAAATTAATCTCACTTTTACTTTGCAACAATTTTCATTCATGTAACTCAAAAAGTTTTCGAGATATGCCCAAAGTAGGACTTGTGTCAGTTTTTGACAAAATATAGATTATTTTAAGTAAGCTTCTTCTAGTGCCCATATCTTCTGAAATACTTTGCGTATCTTAAAAATAGCACTTGATTTTTGAAGAGGGAGCTTTTATCTCAAAATAAAACTGAAATTTATATATCAAGCTCAAATAGTTCGTAAGATATAGCTAAGAGTAGACATGTGTAAAATGTTGATAAAATATGGGCCAACTTGAGTAATCCTCCTCTAAAGGCCATATCTTCTCAACATTTTCCTAGATTTTAAAGAAAAACCATTATCTTGCAAGAAGGGGCTTTTATGTTTTAATTATTATATCTACTAATGATATAGCTAATAAAACCTCCAAGATATGGCAACTTGAAGAAGGGTGACAAGCTTTTCAGAAATTTGAGAATTTTAGAGCAACGCTCTTCTAGTGATCAAAACTTCTGGAGGGTATCCTAGATTTGAATGAAATAGCTTAGGTTAGGTTAAAAAACGCGCGGTTGCCGTTTGGCACCCGCTCCACTGCTGGTCCATGGTATTCATCCTAAATGAGGAGAGTGGAAGAAAGAAAGATTGGTGGAAAAAGGGAAGATATCATTGATAGGAAATGGAGTTATAAGGGTAATCCACGGCTAGAAACCTTTAGCCACTTAAGTCTTCTGGCTAATTGAAGAATTACGGTAGGGTCCGTGTTAGAGAACGAAGACAAATCATTTGACACTTGTTCCCCCACCAACCTGTGTCTCACTTTAATGAGTGCTGGACAGTGGCAGGGCAAATGTTCGATCATCTCAATTTCTTCCTCGTCTTGACAGATTCTGCAGTAATCAATATCATCGCTGTCCCTTTTTTGAGGTCCTTGCAGTGACCTGTGATGATAGCTACCACAAGTTTTAAATCAGGTTTCGACAAGGACAGTAACGACTTTGTTCTCTTCTCAGAGAGTATGCGCCAGATTCTTTTGGAGATGCTACATTCCCTTTCGTACAGCCGTTTTTTGTTGAATTTTCTCTTAGCAATCCTCCATTCTAACAACAAAATTTTGTCCCAAAAATATTGATGAATCAATGCTGGAAATTCATTTTTCTGTTTTTTTGCCCGTAAGCCCATTGGTCTTCAATTGGCATATCTTTTTCGAATGACTTCACTGATTTATTGTTCTGTTTTTTGCCCGCAAACCCATTGGTCTTCAATTGGCATATTTTTTCCTGAAGGTTTTTTTTTCGAATGACTTCACTGACATTTCCATAAATGTTTAAGACATACCTTCAATGTTTAGGCATCCATACTTTCCAACTTACCTCAGCTTATCCTCCAATTCGGTGACCTCCTTCTCCAAAGAGTTACGCTTTTCCTTACACGCCTTTAGCTCATATTCCAGTTGATAGACTTTTTCAGTTTTCGCATCAAGTTGTGTCTGGAAATTTCGAAATATTTTAAATTGAAGTAAAGAAATAATTCTCCAACAAAACCAACCAAAATTTTATCCTTTTCATTTTCCAATGCAACATACGTTTGCTTTAGCACCTTAACTTCGCTGCGCAATTGCAGGGCTTCCTCCCGGGCTGTATCACGATTTGTATCCAAAGTATTGACACGGCGATTTGTGGCCTCCAGCTGTTGCTCAGCATATAATAGCTTATTTTGATAATCACCCAAGGTGCGTTCAGTTTGCTCATGCAGGATTCTGAAAGGAAATGGAAAATTGAATTGATTTTTTGTTAAGTTTTTCCTCTCAAAATATCCTACTTCAATTGATTATAACTGGTTTGCAGCTTATTATTCTCCTCCCTCAATTGATATTGTTGCTGTTTGTAGACCTCAAGTTCTTCCTTAAGCATAACAATTTGTGTCTCGGTTGGCATTCGAGCCGACTGCAATTCCCGCTTTTCCCTTTCCAATTGGCGCAGACGATCGTTGAGCTCTTCAAATCGTTCCTGGGTCTTATGCATCTGTTCGTCATGCATTTTTGTGGTGCACAACAGCTTTTCGCGCAGGGTGTCTCTTTCACATTTCAATCTTTCCATTTCGGCCCGGGCACAATCACGTTCTCGCTCCACCCGCAATATGGCCGCCTGTACACAATCACTACTGGCACTGGATGTGCCCGAACGAGCCGACGATGGCTGAGATGTGGGTAAATTCAAATGATGATGACTTTGGGCATCTTTATAGCATGGGACCAAGGCATGTTGCGGCAGTGTGGGTCGCGTGCATAGCTCCGATCTCAGTAGGCGTAACTCTTCATCTTTGGATTTAATTTGAGATTGAAGAAATTCAATTTCCTTATCCGAGCCAGCTTTACTGAGAAGACGTAAATATTCTTTTTGAAAGAAATCTCTTTCGGATTTAAGGCGAATTTTTTCCTCATCTAAATTTTGGGAATGTTGCGATTCGGTTTCCCTGAGTTCTAGGGAGAGAGAGAAATGATAGAATTTAAAATATTATGTGAATATTTGTATCCCCTACTAACCCTTTTGTAGAGATTGTAACTTAGTTTTCAATTTGGAGACCTTCTTTTGCAAATGCTCATTTTCCATTTTGAGTTCGGATTCTGAAAAGGAAAATAAAATAGGAAATTAAATTAGAATTTACATACATTAAAACATATTTTCCATGATATTTTCCAAAACAAATTGAAAGGCTAAAAATGAATATAAAAAGATGCGTTTCATAAAAATTTGAAACCTTAAACATGAATTAAGAAAAAATACAGAAAAATACTTTTTCCTAAAATACGGGAATTTTTTTTTTAAATTCACCCTCAACGGGTATTCGAAAATTATTTCAAAAATAATCGTTAAAAAGTCGACTACTGTATCTTTGGTTGTCTTCTTCAAAATACCCTACTCTTTGATCTCTCAATCTTCTTTCAAAAATTCTGTTAAAAATTTCACGACTTCATCTCCATCAATCCTCCAAAAAATAGTCTTTAAAAGTTCTCGATGCTTTGTTCAGATTTGTTCCAGAAAAGTCAAAATTCACGTCTTTAGATTGAACATTTAAACCAAACTATTTAATTTCTTTTTCCTAAAATACGGGAATTTTTTCAAAAATTCACCCTCAACGGGTATTCGAAAATTATTTCAAAAATAATCGTTAGAAAGTCGACTACTTTATCTTTGATTATCTTCCAATAGCTTCTTAAAAATACCCTACTCTTTGATCTCTCAATCTTCTTTCAAAAATTCTGTTAAAAACTTTACGACTTTATCTCCATCAATCCTCCAAAAAAAATTCTTTAAAAATTCTCTATACTTTGTTCAGTTTTCTTTCAGAAAAGCCCCAATTCACGTCTCTAGATTGAACATTTAAATCAAACTATTCTACTTCCTGTTCTCTCACCCACCTTTTTGTGTCAATTCATTGATTTTCTCATTGAATTTATGTTTATCCATTGCCATGCCATCATCGACCCTATTTTTTTCCTTTTTATAATCCCCTTTGGATTTCTCCGCAACGGCCGACTTGTGTTTACCCTGCATTTGTCGCAATTGCAGCTTAAGCATTTCAATTTCAGTTTCACGTTGTGATATCTCATTGTTGGCCTCTGTTTCCACCAATAATGCCGCCTCCTTGAGTTCGTCCAGTTGTGATTGTAATGATCTATTGGTTTTCTCCAAATCCAAGGCTCTTTGCATTGCCTCATGCATTTGTTCTTGAAATTCACGCATTCGCGTTAAACAATCCATTTTTTCACGTTGTAACATTTCAAGATCTTCGTTCATATTTCCGACATTTTTGTAGCAACAATCACGGGCCAAAGCAGCGGGGGGACGACCACCCGCAAGTAGATCATTTAAACGGGCAATTTCACGATCACGGGACTCAATCTAAAGAGGAAAGAGAGACGGAGTTATTATTCAAACATATTTTTCTGTCCTTCCCTTACCTTTTTCTGATAAAATTTCAGGTTTTCCATTAGATCCCTATTGGCATTTTCTAATTTTTCCATTTCCTTTTGTTGGGACTTTGTCTGGGTTGAGCCATCATTTTTCTGGCCATAACCCAAAAGATTGCATTTGGTGCATTTTAAATTTGAATTATGTTCTTGCAGTGGCAGTAATGCGGGCAATTGGTCTCCGGAACGTACGGCAGTTATAAAGGGTTTTTTGGCTGGAATTTAATAAAAACTGATTTAAAAGATGTTATTGAAAAGTATCCATTAAAACCTCTACCTTTTGTATCCTTGCCATATTTCATATTACCACTGGCCAATTGCTTAAGATTTTGTGTTTTCAATTGCTGTTGTAGCTGCTCTAATTGCTGTTGTAAATGGAATTTATCAGTTTGCAGGTCTCTCAGCTGGGAACTGAGTTCTAAAAATATAAAAATACAATTTAACATATATTTCAATTTTCCATATTCATATTTCAATTTTTTTTTCATTTACCTCTTATTTTATCCTCATATTCCTCCTGCTGTTGCACTGTTTGTATATGCAATTGATTATTTTGCTGTAACAATCGTGCATTATCACATTTATAGGGTTCAACGCCCAACTCCCAACAGGATTTTTCCTTGAAAACACGCAAAAGCATATTATTGCCGATGGTTATGAATGAATGAAGGAACGAATGAAACAAAAACTTCGACGGGGAAAACACAAACTTCCTTTACAAGGTTACATTGTGGTGTAACTTTTCAGTACAAAACTACTGGTGGTGGTGATAATGATGATGTGGTAATGTTATATGGGTCATTAAAGTGCTTAGCACCAATGAAGAAGGTGGGGGGGAGAAACAATGTGTTTATTTTTACACCTGAAGGCTCTTGTGGCAGGTGGCTTTCTTGGCAGTGCGTCACAACATGTAAAGGAATGGTGTGAATTAAAAATGTCTTCTATAAAATATCAGGGTGTCCTTAATTTTAATATTTTCAAAATTGTACCAAGAAAGAGGTATACTATCCATTTAGGTATTAATTTTCGGGTGAATATTCTCATTAATCGTTCTTAGGGGGTATAAATTACACTCTCGTTCTATACTTGGATTAACTGTTCCATACGGACTATATAGATAACTATGCGATACCACAATCCTTGATGGTTTTCAAAGCCTATAGGATATTGTTACTGTATAGAGAAACCTGGATTTCTTTGCTAACAAACATTCTACGGTTCAAGCGGCTACTTGAAGTTAAAAATACCCTCAAAACCGATTTTTAAAAACGCTTAACTTAACTGGCTGTAATAATGCAATTGACCTATACTGTATCTGTAAACTGACCACAAGAGACATATACCACTGGCATGTCATTGACATCATTGGCGCCATGACAACCCATAGCTATGGAAAAGGGGGGACACAAAAATGGACAAAGACTACTTACAGGACGCAGGTCTAAAAACCACAAAAAAAACTACATTAAATATATAAATGTGTTAGATACCATACAACATTCACTTACCTCCAATAATTCCATGATTTTTTGTTTCGAGTCCCTTAAACTCTCTGTGGTCTTGACCAGATCATCGAAAAGACAACCAACCAATGGTATGGCGGACAACGGCAGCGTTTGGTGATAACCCAAGACATTTAATTTTTGTCGTAAATTATTAAAAACACTATCCGAACCACTCATTTTTTTTCTTCAAATTAATTATTGTTTTCAAAAGACGAACAGACAAACACAAAGCGCGAAATGTAGAAAATAATGTTAGGGATCTATAAATGCATTTTTGGCCATGGACTTCAGGAATAATTGAGATGTAGCTCCAATTCGTCCGTTGCTTAAAGTATGAAACTCACACTTCACACAATGTGACCAATTTCTAGGTGATTTCACTTCTCCCTTGAAACTTTATGAATTCAATTCAATTCTTCAATTTAATGACCACAATAATCATAGTGGATGAAACACATGGGTATTCAAAGACCTGTCTATTTGTTTCCTAATATAGATCCTCTTCCAAATATTTCCAATCCAATTCCAGAGTCTTATCTCTTAGTGTTCTCGTCAGCCTTGTTGAAATGCGTCCATTTGTTTGAAATGCGCGCTTGTAAAACCACAGTAAAAGGCGTCCCAACGTGAATGTTAAAGAAGAGAAGGCAGAATTCCCCAGAACTCTGTTGTTTACGAATGAGTACAATGCATAACGCCCGAGAACACCCTGTTGTTTACGAATGAGGAATGAGGAAAACGCAATTAGCTGGAAACATGTAAAGAAATCAAAATAATACTAAATAGGGATCAACAGATCTAATTTGGTTCCATAGAAGAGTTTAGTCGTCATTCGATTTAGAGACCCCTAAATAAAAATATTTCAAGCAATCTACAATCTCATTTAGACTAGATGATTTTACTTGCGACAGTTCATACCTTTTTGCCCAAAACAATTGGTTTTTAGAAATTTTGCTTTTTCATCATTGTCATTGTTGTTTATATTTTGTAGAAAAAATAAAACAACAACAAAATGGATAACCAACTTATGGACTCAAACATCTAATGGTTATTGCAAATTTCATACCCAGTAGATGTGAATATCATTAAAGGTATTCTAGGGCAAATTCCTTCAGTGTGTAGCCAGTAACAGCTGTTTTTTTGCTCCTTTTGTCGTTTTCCAACACTGACGCGCCGGTTCAATTTTCCTTTTCTATGCATCGTTCGTAAACAACAAAATAATTGGCCCGTCTCTTTTGTCCCTCACATTTGTCATTTGGAACGTTTTTATTTTTTTGGCAAACTCTGTGCGTAAAGTGGACTTGGAGGCTTATAGTGTTTCGTTTCCTTTCCTACCCATTTCAATTGGCTCAATTGTCAACCAAACTCCCCGAAATGACCGATTACAAGGCATCCTCCTCATCGTCGAAACACGGTTCAGTATCTTCATCAATGCCAAGTTCATTGTTGGTAGCAAAACCGGCAAATTTACAATGCAAAGATTTCCAGGAATACCTGCGAACTCGAAGTCCCGATACATTGGAAAAGCTTTATAATTATCCCACAATTTGTTTGGCTGTCTATCGGGAGCTGCCGGAAATTGCCAGGCAATTTGTAATACGTATATTGTTTGTGGAGCAACCGGTACCACAGGCCGTTGTTGCCTCATGGGGTTCACAGTATTATGCCAAGTAAGATGCAATGGAATTTGATAAAAAAATGTCTTTCTTTAATGTTTATTTTATTCGTTTTACAGAGAACAGGCTTCGTCCACAAATATTTTGACAGAATTGAATGTTTGGCGCACCACCACAATACCGGGAGGTTTGTCGGCCTGGGAGCTGTGTCCCACCTTTAAGAAGAATTTAAAAATAGCTTTACTGGGTGGTGGTAAACCCTGGTCTATGTCTCATACATTGGAAAAGGATTCCAAGCCACGAGATATAGCCTTTTTGGATCAATATGCCATGTCAAGATGGCGTTGTGTATTGCATTATATGGTGGGCACGGGTGGTGCCAACAAGGGTCAAGGCAGCGAGGTGATAAGCCCTGATGCTGTGAGAATTCTCCTGCATGCCAATCTAATGAAACGTGATGAGACTGGTATAACCATAACGCGGCAGGGTTTCCAATTTCTTTTGTTGGACACCCAATCCCAGGTTTGGCACTTTATGCTCATGTATTTGGATACATGTGAGGAACGTGGTTTATCTTTGCCCGAATGCCTGAGTATGTTGTTCCAATTGAGTTTTTCCACATTGGGTCGTGACTATAGTTCGGAGGGTATGAATCCCAAAATGTTGGCATTTCTACAGCACTTGCGTGAGTTTGGTTTGGTATTTCAACGTAAACGTAAAGAGGGAAGATTTTATCCCACCCGTTTGGCTTTGAATGTCACCAATAAGGCAGCCACCGTGCCGGCTGTGGTTTTGGAAGATGAAAAATCCCAGGAAAGTGGTTACATTGTTGTGGAAACCAATTATCGTGTATATGCCTACACGGATTCTCCGCTGCAGGTGGCAGTTTTGGGTTTATTCACCGAGTTGCTGTATCGTTTCCCCAACTTAGTGGTTGGTGTGCTGACCCGTGATTCGGTGCGCCAGGCTCTACGTGGTGGCATAACAGCAGATCAAATAATCAGCTATTTGGAACAATATTCCCATCCGAATATGAAGTTAACCGAATCGGCTATCAAATCAAAATCTCCACTGCCACCCACAGTTGTGGATCAAATTAAGCTATGGGAATTGGAAAGAAATCGTTTCACCTATACCGAGGGAGTGGTGTACAATCAATTTCTGTCACAGGCTGATTTTATAACGCTGCGAGACTATGCCCAGTCCATTAATGTGCTGGTATGGCAGAATGAACGCACACGCACCATGGTGGTGACGAAAAATGGCCACGATGATGTCAAACGATTTTGGAAGAAATTCTCCAAAAATGCCAGTTGAGAGGAGATACTGTTTTGATTTTTTAAGTTTTTAAGCTTAGTTTGTAGTAATAAAAGGTGATCCCATGGAATCGCAAGGTAAAAATCACAGTTGTCTGTCTATATAAAATGGTTACGAGTGAAGGCAAATATGATTTGGTTACTGCCTCCTAAAGGTAAAGAAAATCTCCTTCTATTTTGTAGGTTTTGTGTAATAATATTAAGCAATTTTATTACCATATTTTCATTTTATAAAAAAAAATGTGCATATAAAATTATAAAAAGAAGGATGATCGTTTGGTCTTCTCCCTAAAAAACGGGTTGATGTCTATGCGGGACAAGAAAAAACAAAAATCAATCCATTGTTTCCTTAAAAACAAAATCCCCAAAATCTCCACAACAACAGAATATAGTCAAAAATAAATAACAATAAAATAATCGACTTCTCGGTCTGCGCTCTGCGTCTAATACATTATTGGCCTTTGGGGTAGGCATAAATTATAATAGCTCTTTTTATCCCAGAAATCCATACCCTTCCAGCCACACCAACCCTTGGATTGTATGGTCTGCAAATCATCATCTCCCGTATAGTGAGGATCTAAGATGAGGAATTTAATTTGACCCGTCTGGACGTTATAATCAATGCCAATAATAGTGTGGGCCAGCACACCACCACCAATCATAATGGGGGTGCCTTGGGTCTGGAAATGCATGGCCAGATCCGAGGCCAATGTGGACAGTTCAGCTCCAGAGCTAACATGTAGAATTTTTGAATCCACATTAAGGAAACCCTGCAGGCACATGCTGACCTCAGTGGAACCTATTATAAGAAAACGAAAAAAGAAAATTAAAAACATTTCAAGAATATGAATAAAAAAATGCAACCCACCAATCCACTGAGAAGATCCTTTGAAATTTTGTGGTTTATCGCCAATCTTTACCAAATATTGTTGAATTTCCAGGTGGGTGGGCACCGGGCGTTCAGTATAGCCTTGTAGCAGAAACCATGAACATATCGATTGCAGCGAACGATAGGCACAACCCCAGCCTTTGTCTTGCATTTGTTGTTGCAGATAATGATAATAATGATAATTGCCCTGGACCAAGTACAGCTTACCCTCCGACACACCGCTTGCTTTCAAACCCAAATGGGTATTCAGCAATGGCTCACCTGCACCGATCTCATTACGGAACATACAAACATTTGAGCGGCGGAAATATGGTCGCATAACACTCAAACCAAAATGACGATGTAGACGTTTACGTTTGTTTTGCATGCTAGCCTCATCGTCGGATACGCCCTCCAAATAGCAGCAGGAAATAAAATGACCAAATTCTCGCGGGAAGAAATTATAGGTCTTGGGTACCTTGAGGATTTTTCTTTCATTCTCTTCCAAATTTTCAGTTATACTCTGCTCGCACAGACGCAAAGCCCTACATATGCTTTCAATGAGGATATCATATAAACGCGATAACTTGGTGGATTTATTCAAAATGGCCATGGGTTCCAATTCAACTGGTATGGCGTATTTTTTCTCACCCGGCTTTAGGCACATGCTCATGGCTGGCAGTGTATTGGTAATGTTATCCGTATCATTAAATTCCCTTGTTTTGGAACGCAACACCTCAATACCAAGGACATCAAAGTCACAGCCCACTGCGCCATAGACATTGGACAATTTGATGTCCGTTGCCATCGATTTTTTGCTTTTCCTATTTTCTCCTGCATTCTCTTTGTCCTCTTGATTAAAGTGCACCGCTGCCTGGACGGCTGCCATAACATCTGTTATCATGGAATCATTATTTATGGCTTTTGATTTGTGTCCCGAATAGGCCACGCCTTGTACGCCACCACTTGTAATGAAAACCTTTGTGGGTTCCACATTGAAAGCCAAACTGCCACCTGATATTGTCTTTCTTAAGGCATGCATTTCCTTGCGCACGGCCAGAGCATTATCTTCTGTATAAATTGTCCAGGAAAACTTCAGACGGGTAAAACAAAAATCTCCATACAGCTGTTCCTCATCCATTACCTCATAGGGCACCTCCTCCAATTTGCCATGCATTAAAAATGAGGCCCTCAAACCCACCAACGTACCCAATTCACAATGCAACAATATGGGATTATCGGTGATGTCAACATCTTTGAATATTTCACTCAAATGCGCTTCGGCATCCGAACAATCCCCAAACTTGACCAGACCACACAAATCCACCTCGGCTGGGAATTTATGTTGGATTTGTTCATAATTCAACTGTCCAATTGTGGATTCGACATTGAATCCCAGCAACAGGAGTGTCCCTTCACCGTAGAAAACACCAAATAGGCAGCCACTGCATTGTTGTTTTACCTGTTCCAAACGCTGCAAGTAAACAAGTTTTGAATGCATTTTAAAACTACCAAATGCCATCATAGACTCACCTTCAAGAGCAGTGAGGAAATTTTTAATTTAGGTAACATTTCGAATGTTTCAGCGATGAATTTCTCGGGAAAAAACTTAATGCGTTGGCAAATTCACCGTTGTTTCCTACTGTTGACGGGGGATATGTAGGCCGTTTTTCGACCAATCGATTAAATGACGTTTATATTGCATTGCAGCTAGAGAGACCTATTTCTTTGGAATCTGACTTCCCATCATGTTCGTGCTTTTTTTTTTTTTTTTTTTGTACTTCTACGTCGTCAAGTATGTTGGTGGTTAGAACACTTTCGTGCCCATTCACCATGACCGGTTATTGGTTACTTGAAAAGTATCAGTACTCTTTTATTTTCGTTTTCTTTTTGTTTACAGTATATGTGTGTTTACAGAATGTAGTGATATGAATGAAATACATAAGAAATCAAAACAAAAAAAAAATCAAAACTAAAGGAAAAAATAAAGAACTGTCAGCAAATATGATGATTATTTACAAATAAAAGTCAAACTTCAATTTTGCAAAGTGCAATAAAGTTGATTAATTCATCTATATTTTGTTGGTTTTTGGACATCAGGATTTCCGGTAAGTTATTAAATTTCTTGAACAAATCAAAATCATTCCTATGATTTTGATGCTTTTTGCAGAAAAAAATTATGTGTTTTTCATCTTCAATTTCGTTGCAGGTTTCACAAAGATTTGAGTCAGCAATTCCAATCCTGTGGAAATATTTTTTGGTGTAAGTATGACCAGTGAGCAATCGATTAACAATCTTTATGTTTTCAGGTTTCATGTTTGATGAAAAGAACCAGGGCTGTTTAGCAGGCGCCGGGAAGAATTGGTAGAAGTAAGTTCCTTTAGTCCGTGAGATGTCCTTGTAATTTTCTATAAACTCATTCCACAGGAGTGACTCAATGCGTTTCGACGCATCTGTGACCGACAGACAGAAGTTGATTGGTGAACCAACATTTGCTGCATGCTTCGCAAAATAATCGGCTGTTTCATTGATTGGTATACCGACATGGGAAGGTGTCCAAACAAACGAGATTTTAATTAAATGCGAATTAACTATTTTGTTTAGAATATTGTACACAGTGAAATTGTGAGATGTGTTGTTTTTAAGCAGAAGACAAGCATTTTTGCTGTCTGTAAATAAAGCAGCTGTGCTGACACCGTCTTCGATCATCAAATCAATTGCCTTTTCAATTGCACATAGTTCACCAGTAAGAGAAGAAAGTTTTTCATTAATTTTGAAAACAAAATTTTGATTAGCAGATATATTGCAGACAGCGCAGCCTGTGTTGTTGTTAAAAACAGCAGCATCCGTCGCCCAAATAGAAACGCCTTCGGATCTGAAGTCGTTAATTAATTCGTAGTAGTGTGCTTTGAAATATTCTGTTGGTGTATTGTTTTTGGTAGTATTAAATATATCCAGCATGAAATCTACCTTGTTGGTCGGATGTTGATTGTAACCAATTTTGAGATTTTCAAAAATTGTGCGAAACTTTGTATAGACATATCCAAGACTAGTTTTTCTTGAGGTATTTGAGGTGAAGTATTCATACAGAGAAGAGTTGTATATTTTAAGTCTTATCAATTCTTTAGCCGCCAAGTGTTGAGCTCTTAAATCTGTTGGTAGCATACCAGCAAGAGCGTATACCACATGATTTGGAGTGGAAGGCACCAGTCCCAAATTTTTTCTTAACAACTGATTTTGAAAGCTTGTTAGCTTCTTGTTTATATACATTGGTCTGTGAGCCATCGATGAGATTGCATATTCGGTCTTTGAAAAGATAAGTGATTTTGACAGGTTTATAGCTTTTGCGGGATGAATTCCACTTTTTGGACCCGTGACCATTTTTAAAGCATTAACAGTATTTCTGCAGGATATCATCACCTCTTCGTAGTGCTCCTTGAGTGATAGACTGTTTTTAATATGTCTCCCTAAAAATTTGATGGACTTAACAACATTTACTTGGACTCCATTTAGTAAAATGTTGGGATTTCTCCGACCTCCTTTAGCCACGTACATTACTGAAGTTTTCTCAACATTGACGTCAAGGTTTAGTTTTTTTAATAAGGATACCATGTTATTGGTTTTGATTTGTAAAATATTGTTGGCACTATCAAAGTCATGGCTTGCCACAAGCAAAATAAAATCATCCGCATATTGGAAAATGTTTGTGTTTTCATCAGCTAAACCATGGAGGCCTATTGTGTATAGGTTGAATAGTGTTGGGCTTAAACAACTGCCTTGAGGGATCCCATTGTATATATTTAGGGTGGAGTTTCCCATACAAAGAGTCCTTTTGCAGAGAAAATTGATTATCCATAATCTTATTTGGAGTGGAATGTTTATTTCTATTAAAATCCTCTTCAGGTAATTTATATCGACACACTCATAGGCTTTCGATACATCCATCGAGAGAACAATCACCTTGTCATTTTTTTCTTTGGAGGTGTTTATTGTGTGTAGTATGTCATTAATGCATGTTGAAGTTGACACATGTTTGCGGTATGCATAAGATCTAGGTGGAAGAGTTTTATGTTCATCTAGAAAATCATTGAGCCTTTGTTTGACCATGAGGTTTAAAATCTTTGCCAGTACAGATATTAAAGCAATTGGCCGAAAATTTGTGCAGATGTCTAAATTTTTTCCTTTTTTCGGTATGGGAACAATTTTTATTCTCCTCCATTCTTCAAAAAACTCACAGTTTTTCCATTGATTATTAAAGGAATTCAAAAGGTGCTGCTTACTATCTTGGGATAGTTTATTAACCATTTCATAAGTGATTCCATCCAGACCAGCTGCAGATGGTTTAGTTTTTTGCTGTAGAACATTGTCTAGTTCTTCCATGGAGAAATTTGCAGATTGATTGTTATAAATTGAAATGGATATAGTTTGTCTGTTGTTGGGAACCTGTTCACTCAAATGACGTAAGAAGGCTTCGTTGTTGTCAGTGTTCCATTTAGAAGCAGATTGGGGTTCGAAAACCGATTTACAGCTCTTTACATAACGGAAAAGCGATTTTGAATTAGATAATTGGCTTAAATCTGACAGTTTACGACGTTTGTCGCGATTTTTGGCACATTTTACGGCTTTTTTGAATTTAGATATAGCGTTGATTGCACTCAGGGCATTTTCAGTGGTTTTGTATCTATCAAATTTCTGTTCTGCGGCCTCTTTTTGACGTAAGAGTATGGTAATGTCATTATTCCACCATGTTTGAAATTTTGTTTCAGCAGTAATGAGAAAAGTTGAATTTTTTATTGTTGATTTTAGCTTCGATTGAATATCATTCATATTGGAATCAATTTTTAGATTTGATAAGTTTTTGAAGAGATGTTTTTTTGCTAGGAAGTACTGTTGCTTTGATGTGAAATTATCTATGTTAATAAGGATTGGTCTGTGGTGGCTTCCTCCTATGCTTGTATTTTTTACATTCCAATTAAAGTTTGAAGACATATTTGTGAAGGTAAGATCTAACACAGAACCGAAAGAACTGTCAAATAGATTCTTTTTAAAGGTTGCTGAGCCATCATTAACACAACGAAATGCCGAACTGTCCATCAAGGTTTGCACAGTGGATCCTCGAACTGTGTCAAAAACGTCACCATATGCTTTACATCTTGCATTAAAATCCCCGCCAATAATGACATTTGATTTTCCATTTAGAAAGATTAAAAGTTTTGATACTTCAGTTTTTAAAACATTGGATTTTACAGAATGCGGAAAGTATACTGAGACAATCGTTAAATTTTGAGACAGGTTTGTAGTTTGACATATTAAGATGTCTAAATCCGATGCAAAAGGTAATTTTTTCATTTTAATAGTTTTTTTGTGCAGGATGGCAACGCCACCATAATTGTCGATTCTTTTTTTACAGAATAATCCATAATTGTTTACGTAAGATGATGATGCATTTTCATCTACATTAAAAATTTCGCTTAAGATGCATATATCGACAGAAAATTTGTTTAAGTAAAGTTCTAAATAATTTTTATTTTTATTCAAACTTTGTATGTTGTGCTGTAAGATTATCATGTTCGGTTTGGTTAGAACTGGAAGGTCCATCTATTGCTGGTGCTTTTAAGGCATTTGAAAAACTGTCTAAGATCTGTAATCCTTCTGTACACTTGGCATTGGTTAATGCGGCAGCCATTTGTTGAGTGAAAGTGGATAATATTTTTTCATACTCAGAAACTTTGAAAAAATTTGAGAATTCAAAGGATGGTTTAGAGGGTACAATCGTTTCCTGTTCAGCTGTAATATGTGTTCTACGAGGTATTGATGCTGCTACTTTATTGTAATTGACTTTAGTTCTCCTTCTGTTGAGTTCATCATTGAAGGAAGTAACTGGTCTTCTGCTTGTTTTAGAAATTTGGGGAAATTGATTTTCATAATTTGGTTCATCTAAAATTTCAAAGTAATTGTTTGAAACTTTAGGGATACATTCTTTCCTTGAAAGGTTGGTGATTGCCATAGCCTCCAGAATATTTTTTTCATTGCTGTATCTTTTGCATTTTTTGACATCCATGGCATTGTGATCTTCCATGTTGCATAGTATACATCTGGGTAGAATACAGTATGTTTTGCATTTAATTGTCGACAAACATGTATCACATTTTGGCTCTGTGCAGTTTGTGGGACATTCAATGTTTATCCCGCAAAGAAGGCATCTTTTTTTGGCTCTACATTTTACGGCTATATGACCTAAACGACCGCAATTTTTACATAAGCGTACAAGTGGAATATATAAATCCGTCTCCACTATAGAGTTGAACATTTTAAGTTCTTTTACAACGTAGTCCGCTACAATACCTACTTTAATGGTTTGCGACGGCACATACTGACCATTTTCATTTTTGTATTTGAAACGATATACTGATACAGCTTTGAAATCATTGTCGCTGCTGTTGATTTGATCATATATCATTTTGCCAGTGAATTCTACTGGTACGGATTTAATAACATAAAATTTTTGTACAAATCTATCTGGGATAAAAGCATTCAAACCAATAGATTTTACATTTGGATCCAAAACAAAATTATTTGCCGAGTTATAATTGTTGAAGCTCAGGCGGAAGGTTTTATATGCAATATTCTTTGATACAAAATGAGCATTTATGTTGGCACTGGCTAATTTGGCATACAAATGTAATTCTGAGTTCTTTCTTCTAGGGCAAATGGGCTCATCAGAAGTAAGAAGTACATAATATGGACCTGGATGGGCTGGGCTGTAAAGAATTGTTTGGTTTTCATAGTTATCATAGCTGTAAATATCTGTTTTGTTTGTGTTTTTGGGTATATTGGATGGATTGGAGGGATTGTTATTGTTGGAGTGACAGTTGTTAGTTGTGTTGGTGGAGATGGACTTTGTATCATTAAAATATTGATTTTCATATGGTGTGAGAGTGGTGTTTTCTTTTGCTGGTGTTGTTTTTGCAGAGCACTGCGGCATTTTATTTTGCATAGAAGGCTGATTATTTTTAAACTTCTTGCTTCCAGGGTTGCTAAAAAGCTCAATTCTTTTCCTCGGGTCTAAACGAGGAGGCGGCTCCTCATCACCCATTTTCGCAGAAAATTGTATATTTTGTTGAAATTAGGAATATTAAATTTCAGCAAAATCACCAAATAAAATAATGTTTGTGTTATTGGTTAGATGGAAGGAATGTGTGTATTTGTGTGTGTATTGGTGTTCAAAGCAAAACAAACAAAACGCATAAAAAAGAAAGCGAAACGGCGCGCACGTAGTCTAAAGTCAACGAGAGTTGAGAGACGACTGGATGTTCGTGCTTTTGAATTTCCTTTCTTCCTCACTCACATTTGATTGGCAACACTTGAAAATTAAGGTGAGGGTACAAAGGCAGCTTGGCATTATTGTTAGGAATATTAAAAGCAAATTATAATGGGAAACGGTGGTAGTGCCATGTTTACGTTTGAACTTTTTGTAGGGTTAACCTACTTTATTTGAAGTAAAAGTAATGGAAATGACAATTTAAATCCAAATCCAGTGGGTTAACCCTCATATATATAAACGTACTGTAGGATTCGAATGTGACTCTGGCATATGATATATCACAAAATATGACATGCGAAGACTTCAATAATAATGTTAAAAAACTGCAACAAAGTAAAACGCCACAATTTTTAAATTTTTTTGAATAAAAGCAAAAAATGCCGGAAAAATCATTAAATTTTAGAATAAGTTTAGATTTGCTCGAATTGGTCACTTTTGGCACGAACTATGGCCTTCAAACGACCAATGAAACCGTCACACGCTGCCCGAGTGTTGTTCTGCGGTATTTTGGTTCTGCGGTATTTCAGCTGTCCTGACCACTTTGGCAAGTAAACACGATCATTTTGTTTGTTTACAAACTACTGGACAACGAATGTTTTCTGATCGGAGACCACCAAAGCAAATTCGGAAGTTCACCACTTTCGGCGGTGGCCAAACGTAGTAGCCCTTTCGAGTCTATTTTCTTTCTGTTGCGGTGTAAGTTCTTGCACTTTTTGGAATTTCAATGGCTCTCCCCCGAGCTCATTTCTCAATATTTGCCGAATGGAATATTGCGATATGTTCGGCTCACGAGTTTTCGATCAAGTCTCTTCTTTACTTTTGGAACCATTTCTGTTGATGTTGCTGTTTTCTTCCATCCACTTCCTTAACGTCGGGCTACGCTACCAGTATCACGGTAATGAGCTATGGTACGAGACACAAAAGATTTATTCACATTTAAATGCTGGAGTGCTCCAACGATAGCCACTTGTGGTTTTCCAGCCAAATATAAAGAAAATCACCCTATCAAGCTTGAATTCCATCACGAATAACTTTTTTTCTGGAAAATTTTCACCAAAATGCTTTTGTACGTTTGTAAACAATAGAATTAGCTGTCACTGGAATAATTTTTACAGCTGTCGGACGAGTGGCTTAGAAATGTCGGCAGTCGGAAGTTGGTTGCAGTTTTTTTCATCTCTTATTATGATTGGCCAACTAACAGTGGCAACCCAGACAGAGATTGTGTGTGTAAACGCGCTATAAGTTTGCTGTCAAAATGCATGATTGTGATTTGATAACCAAAAAAAGGTTAATTCACAATAGAGCCAAAAAACTACAAGTTTATTGTCAAAAAAGCAGTCTTCTTGTCCGACTCAATTCCAAAATTTAATTTGCAGAAAATTTTACGAACAAATTATTAAGTGTTTAACGAAACGGCCGATCATTCATTGCTAACGACGACACAAAGTATTTCCAGAACCAGGTAATTAGATGATGGAAAACGAATGATGATTGCAAAGACAATGGACAAAGTGACGCAGGTCGAGAGTGTTCTTGGAAAAAAGGAAAATAAATGACAAATTTGTAGAAGAAGATAGGGGAGGGGAAATGTTGCGGCTGCTGTGGGGGGTTTAGTTAAAAAAATGCAAAAAATATATACAATGAAGAATGCTGGTTAAAAAAATCATGAAATTGCATGTTCCTATTATAATTTTCTTTTCCTTTTGTTGTAGGAGATTTTTTTTTGAAAATTTTGGACTTTGTTGTTGTTGTGAAAGAGAGAGTGAGTGAGGGAAGAGGAGAAGCTGTGTAATTTGTATGTTTCATTTCGAAAGCCAGCAGCACATAGTGAATGTTGTTGTTTACCTTGAGGACTGCCAGACAGACAGACAGTCGGTCATTTACAATTTATTTATCTTTTTGCTTTTTTTTCGTTTGATAGAAATTTTTATCTTTAATAATCTGTGTGCCGTTTCTTTATTTGCAGTTCACCACCATCTCAAACAAAGAAAAAGGCAGCATAACAAACTCCCAAGGGCACTGATATATTTATTTGGAATTACATTGTTATCATTGTTTTGGGCATATTTGGAAACAACTAGAGCCCATAAAGAGCATTAACTAAAAACAAATTTTTGCCATACTTCCAATAAAAAAAAAATAGCCAAGTCGAGCCCAGGAGTTGATTGCTTGCTTATCGGTGCTTGGATTAAATCATTGTCATCCTAAATGTCACATTCTCTGGCCTCCACATCAAATTCACCCCTGGCCACACCCAGCAGCTCAGCTGTACGTGCATTGTCCCTAGAATATAAATCTCTGCAGGAGGAACCCGTCGAGGGTTTCCGTGTTAAGTTGGTCAATGAAGATAATCTCTTCGAATGGGAGGTAGCCATATTTGGACCCCCCGATACCCTATATCAGGGTGGTTACTTTAAGGCTCACATGAAATTCCCTCCCGACTATCCCTATTCACCACCCTCAATACGTTTTCTGACAAAAGTTTGGCATCCAAATGTCTATGAAAACGGTGATTTGTGCATTTCGATACTCCATCCACCCGTAGATGATCCACAAAGTGGCGAGTTGCCGTGCGAACGTTGGAATCCAACACAAAATGTGCGTACCATTCTGCTGTCCGTGATTTCTTTGCTCAATGAACCAAATACCTATTCACCGGCCAATGTTGATGCCTCGGTAATGTATCGACGATGGAGAGATTCTCAGGTGAGCATAAAGATGGAATAATTTTGAAAATTTCGTTTGGAAAGGGTTTGTCTTGATTTTCCAGGGTAAGGATAATGAATATCCCAATATCATACGTAAACAGGCCCTGGCCGCCAATGCGGATGCCATAAAGGAGGGCATTGTGGTGCCCATGACATTGGAGGATTATTGCATTAAACCTAAGCGAAAAGAAAACACAGAACCCACACTGGATTCCAACTTTTTCGATGATGTCTTTGATTTGGAAACCGAAGATGATATGCCAACCGATGACGATGATGACGAGGAGGAGGATGATGATGACGACGATGCGGATAATGCAGATGATAGTGGAAAGGGTGAAACAACATAAAGGAATCCGGGGGTAAGTAGAGAACTAAATAAACAAATGAAACCAGGCATTCGTAACAATTTATTTTTTTCCGTTTAGGAAATTTCGCCAAAATGCCGTATTCGGGCGTAACCGACATTTCGTTTTTGGGTGTTTCCGGGGAAGAGAGCAGATTTCTCGTCTTCACAATAGTTTATAATCAACAACAACAACTCATTACAATTAAAATTTTGAGTATTTTGTAATTTATTTTATTTTATATCTTTTATTTCATCATTTTTTGTTTGTTTTTAATTTGAAAAAAAAAAATTCTTTGACAAATCTCAAGCAAAATTATCGTTTAAATAAAAACTAAAAACCTCTATATAAAAGCAATTAACAAAAAAATTATTTCACTTTCCTCCTATCTACAAAACTGTTATACATATTAAAAAGAAAGAATATCAAATAGCTTAACTCACTAAACAAAAAAAAAAACAAAGATTTTAAAGCCAAATAGTCACATGAAAAAAACAACAACATATTGTTGAAAACCTATATAAATATAGAAACAAATTTGCCATATACTTCAATTATTCTTCTTTACCTTTTTCCAAAACTTAAATATTCTCCTTTTAATGCTTTAAAATAAAAAAAATACTTGCAATTTAGTTTAAAACATTTATTTAAAATTAAGTTTATTTCTGAATAGACTATCATTTTTGTTTAGAATTTAGTTTTATTTTTAATTATTTATCTTGAAAAATACAAGAAAACAGAAAAAAAATCTCTCAGTGTTAAAAATTTTTCATCATAACCTCCAAAAAAAAAAAAAAAACAAAAAAACTCAATCTCAATTTTTAATATCCTCCCAAAATACTAAGCGAAAACAAAAAACAAGTAATAAATTGTGTACGTAAAAAATGAACAATTTCTTGCAAAAATATATTTTTAATAATCGAATGAAGAAAGAAAAAAAAAATAAACATTAACCATAAGACGTTTAATTATAATGAGTACTATAACAACAAAAAAAAAAAAAGAAAATAATTATCGCATAAGTAACGTAAATCAATCGTAAATAAAACTAAAACAACAAAAAGCAAATAAAAATATTGATTATTTGGTGTTGCATAGGGTGGGGGGGACTAAGATAAACATTTCTATTTTCATATTCTAATCTGAATTTCTCTAGGGTCTAGTCAAATCTGTATTAACTGAAATCCCCTGACAAATAATAAAATCAAAATGCACGAATCCATTTATTTTTTAATTTCTATTGGAAGAGGTTAAGATTTGATTAAAAATCTCCCATAACGCTTCATTTTTGGAACTTGGTGTCAATGAAGAATAGATTCTAAATTAAATTTCACTAGGGGTCTCCAAACAAACCGAATCTGTAGAAACTAACCGTCTCAGGTAATAAAATAATTCAAATTGAAGAAATCTATTTTTAGATTTTTATTGGAAAAGGTTAGGATTTGAGCAAAAATCCCCCATAACGCTTCATTTTTGGAACTTGGTGTCAATGAAAAATAGATTCCAAATTAAATTTTACTAGGGGTCTCCAAATAAACCAAATCTGTAGGAACTAAAAATCCCAGATAATAAAATAAATCAAATTTCAGTAATCTATTTTTAGGGTTTTGTTTAAAGAGGTTACGATGTGAGTGAAATTCTCACAGAACACTTCATTATTGGAACGTGATGTCAATGGAGAATAGATTCTAAATTCAATTTCACTAGGGGTCTCCTAACAAAGCAAATCTGTAGGAATTGAAAATCCCAGACATTTAAAGAAATTTATTTGAAATATATAATTAAAGAATTTATATTTAGATTTTTTAATTTTTATTGGAGAGGGTTAAGGTTCAAGTAAAAATCTCCCATAACGCTTCATTTTTGGAACGTAATGTCAATGGAGAAAAGATTCTAAATTAAATTTCACTAGGGGTCTCCATGTAAACCAAGTCTGTAGGAATTAAAAATCCCAGATGAATAATGAAATCAAACATGAGAAATATATTTTTAGCATTTTGAAATTTTTATTGGAAGAGGTTAATATTTGAGTAAATATCTCCCATAACGCTTAATTTTTGGAACTTGACGTTAATGGAGAATATATTTTAAACTAAATTTCACTAGGGGTCTCCAAACAAAATAAATCTGTAGGAACTGAAAATCCCAGATAATAAAATAAATCAAATTGAAGTAATCTATTTTTAGATTTTTATTAGAAGATGTTACTATTTGAGTAAAAATCTCTCACAATGCTTCATTTTTGGAACGTGGTGTCAATGAAGAATAGATTCTAAATTAAATTTCACTAGGGGTCTACAAACCAACCAAATCTGTAGGACCTATAAATCCCTGACATTTAAAATTGAAATATAAAATAATTTATATTTAGATTTTGTAATTGTTACTGAGAAAGATAATTGTTTAAGTAAAAATCTTCCATAACGCTCCATTTTTTAAACTTGGTGTCAATGGAGAATATATTCTAAATTGAATTTCAGTAGGGGTTGCCAGAAAATTAAAAATCCCAGATAATAAAATAAATCAAATTGAAGTAATCTATTTTTAGATTTTTATTGGAAGAGGTTACGATTTGAGCCAAAATCTCCCATAACGCTTCATTTTTGGCACTTGATGTCAATGAAGAATAGATTCTAAATTAAATTTCACAAGGGGTCTCCAAACAAGCCGAATCTGTAGAAAATTAATAATCCAACACAGTTAAAGAAATCAAATTGAATTATAGGAAGATTGTCTATTTTAGAGTTTTTTTTTTATAATTTATTAAAAGAGGTTAAGGTTCAAGTAAAAATCTCCCATAACGCTTCAATTTTGGAACTTGATGTCAATGGAGAATAGATTCTAAATTAAATTTCACTAGGGGTCTCCTAACAAGGCAAATCTGTAGGAACTGAAAATCCCAGACATTTAAAGAAATTTATTTGAAATATATATGTAAATAATTTATTTTTACATTTTTTAATTTTTATTGGAGAGGGTTAAGGTTCAAGTAAAAATCTCCCATAACGCTTCATTTTTGGAACGTAATGTCAATGGAGAAAAGATTCTAACTTAAATTTTACTAGGTGTATCCAAGCAAACCAAGTCTGTAGGAATTAAAAATCCGAGATAAATAATGAAATCAAATATGAGAAATTTATTTTTAGCATTTTGAAATTTTTATTGGAAGAGGTTAAGATTTGATTAAAAATCTCCCATAACGCTTCATTTTTGGAACTTAAAGTCAATGGAGAATAGATTTTAAATTAAATTTCACTAGGGGTCTCCAAACAAACCAAATATGTAGCAACTACAAATACCAGATAAATAAAGAAATCAAATTTGAGGAATTTATCTTTAGAATTTTTAAATTTTTATTGAAAGAGGTTAAGATTCGATTAAAAATCTCCCATTACGCTTCTTTTTCGGAGCTTGGTGTCAATGGAGAATAGATTCTAAATTGAATTTCACGAGGGATCTCCAAGCAAACCAAGTCTGTAGGAATTAAAAATCCCAGATAAATACAGAAATCAAATTTGAGGAATTTAATTTTAGCATTTTTAAATTTTTATTGAAAGAGGTTAAGATTTGAGTTAAAATCTCCTATAACGCTTCATTTTTGGAACTTGATGTCAATGAAGAATAGATTCTAAATTAAATTTCACCAGGGGTATCCAAGTAAACCAAGTCTGTAGGAATTAAAAATTCCAGATAAATAAAAAAATCAATAAATAAAGAAATCAAATTTGAGGAAATTATTTCTAGGATTTTCCAATTTTTATTGAAAGAGGTTAATATTTGAGTTAAAATCTCCTATAACGCTTCATTTTTGGAACTTGATGTCAATGAAGAATAGATTCTAAATTGAATTTCACTAGGGGTCTCCAAACAAACCGAATCAGTAGGAACTAAAAATCCCAAATAATAAAATAAATCAAATTGCAGTAATCTATTTTTAGGTTTTTATTTAAAGAGGTTACGATGTGAGTGAAATTCTCCCAGAACACTTCAATATTGGAACGTGATGTCAATGGAGAATAGATTCTAAATTAAATTTTACTAGGGGTCCCCTAACAAAGCAAATCTGTAGGAATTGAAAATCCTAGACATTTAAAGAAATTTATTTGAAATATATAAGTAAAGAATTTATTTTTAGATTTTTTAATTTTTATTGGAGAGGGTTAAGGTTCAAGTAAAAATCTCCCATAACGCTTCATTTTTGGAACGTAATGTCAATGGAGAAAAGATTCTAAATTAAATTTCACTAGGGGTCTCCAAACAAACCAAATATGTAGCAACTACAAATACCAGATAAATAAAGGAATCAAATTTGAGGAATTTATTTTTAGAATTTTTAAATTTTTATTGAAAGAGGTTAAGATTTGATTAAAAATCTCCCATAACGCTTCTTTTTTGGAACTTGGTGTCAATGTAGAATAGATTCTAAATTAAATTTCACGAGGGGTATCCAAGTAAACCAAGTCTGTAGGAATTAAAAATCCCAGATAAATAAAGAAATCAAATTTGAGGAAATTATTTCTAGGATTTTTAAATTTTTATTGAAAGAGGTTAAGACTTGAGTTAAAATCTCCTATAACGCTTCATTTTTGGAACTTGACGTTAATGGAGAATATATTTTAAACTAAATTTCACTAGTGGTCTCCAAACAAAATAAATCTGTAGGAACTGAAAATCCCAGATAATAAAATAAATCAAATTGAAGTAATCTATTTTTAGATTTTTATTTAAAGAGGTTACGATGTGAGTGAAATTCTCCCAGAACACTTCAATATTGGAGCGTGATGTCAATGGAGAATAGATTCTAAATTAAATTTCACTGGGGGTCTACAAACCAACCAAATCTGTAGGAAATTAATAATCCAACACAGTTAAAGAAATGAAACTGAATTATAGGAAGAGAGTCTATTTTAGAGTTTTTTTTTATAATTTATTAAAAGAGGTTAAGGTTCAAGTAAAAATCTCTCATAACGCTTCAATTTTGGAACTTGATGTCAATGGAGAATAGATTCTAAATTAAATTTCACTAGGGGTTTCCAAACAAACCAAATCTGTAGGAACTTAAAATCCCAGACATTTGAAGAAATTTATTTGAAATATATAAGTAAAGAATTTATATTTAGATTTTTTAATTTTTATTGGAGAGGGTTAAGGTTCATGTGAAAATCTCCCATAACGGTTAATTTTTGGAACTTGGTGTCAATGAAGAATGGATTCTAAATTAAATTTCATGAGGTGCCTTCAAACGAACCACATCCGTAGGAAGTGAAAATTCCACACAAATAAAGAAATCAAATTGAAGAAATCTATTTTCAGATTTTTATTGAAGAGGTTAGGATTTGAGCAAAAATTTCCCATAACGCTTCATTTCGGCTTTTTTAACTTTTGGACCCTTAAGTTTGATATAATAAAAAACAATTAAAATAGTTTTCATTAGTTTTTTTTTTTTATTATTATTGGATTATTTGGTTCAAACTTCATTAGATAAATGTGTATAGAATATTGGTAATTATACGAGGGAAATTAGGCGGAATAAGTATCTTAAATAATAAACATTCAAACAACATATAAAAACAATAATTTTCAAATATTACTAAAGCAAAAAAAATGAGAGGAGAAAAACTTAAAAATATCACCTTATTGAGATAAAAAAAAAATACATATTAAATTGGATACTATATTAAACGCAGTGCTTAAATGTATGCCCATTACATAGCATCGAAATGGAAACGATGAGCTTCTTGCAGCTTCTCCTGTTTATCTTCGCGTTTCTCTTTTATGTATAAAACTAAAATAATCAAAACTATAACAAGGCATGTGCCACCCAGCGCCACAACGCTCATAACAATCAGTTTACTGGGTGTTACAAACAGCTGGGCCTTCCAACGTTGTGGATCATCAACGGGTTTGGGCACAACGATAATTTGTGAATTGGGTATAAGTTGAGTCCAGGTGCGTGACATGTGGCCCAAGCCGACCGTCAAGGAATCCACAAAATTTGGTGTTCTACCCAAACCGAATATGGTATAGGGCAGCTGTAAAGCAAAATATGACGATTGGGGTAGTTGTACCGAGGAACCACGTTGTAAATCTCCATCTTGTGTGGTGGTAAAGTAGGTTATGCGAGGTCCAGGCAAGTTGGTACCATATGTACGTCGTTTACGACCCAAGGGGGTATGTAATGTGGGATTCTTACTGTTTATAAGACCTGTTAGGACAATTACTTTCACAAAATTAGCATCATAGTCGAGGGTATTACGGAAGGCCAATGGTTTATATTGGCCCTTTTTGTTTTTCTCAATTAAAATTATGTCCAAAACACCTGAAATTAAAACAGTCGTAAAAATAGATATTCTTAATTTCCATTACACAACTTACCATCCTGATAGAAATCATAAAAGGCCCCGGCCACAGTATCATTACCCATGGGATTCAAGGCATTCCATTTTACCTCAAAGGTTCTCTTTAGCGGAGGATTACACATTAGACAAGGCACATTTTCCAAAAGGAAAGTTTGCATTCTCTTGGTTGGTCCAGTCAGGGTCTGCAGTGTCATGATCAAATCTGGATAACCATCCATGTTGAAATCTCCACTTCTGGCAGTAATTGTTTTTAGATAAACATCATCTTCAATTGGTGGGACAAAACCCCACATTACAGCCTGGGGATCTTTGAAGTTTACATGGATATCTCGGAAGTTTGTACCATCATGTACCAGAATAGTTGAATTGGAACAATCTTTGCGATGAAAGCAAACAGGCAATATGATGTTCTCCACACCTTCCAATTCAAAGTCGGCAAACACTGCCTGACCCAAAGTATAATCAGAACCCACTATGGAAATGTCAATGGTGTGATTAAAGGCAAAATCTTCATTGGCTTTTCCATACCAAATTTCATAGTGATCTTTGGTCTGTACAAACAAATCGGCCGTAAAATCACCATTTAAATCCAAATAGGCATTGGCGTTGGGTATACTTATCGAAGGTTCCGTTGTGGAAACTCCATTTGGTGGGGCCTGCGTTATTTCATGGGGTGGTACCCGAGCCTTTTGAAATATCCAAAATCTACGATCACCCTTTTCATTGAGGCCATATAAATCAATGATCATATCGCGATTAAAGTCCAAGGCCAAAGGTTCACCCATTGTTTTCAATAGAGGTTCTGCATGTTCACTTGTACAATTGAGTCCCTCCGGACCACCCCAGTGGACATAGATTTGATAAGTGTTTACCTTACTGCCCTGCGGTTTAATGGCCACAGCAACATCCATTAGAGCATCGCCATCAAAATCGCCTGGAATTACACTGACAATCTCGTGATCCCTGTACATGCAAATGGGACCACCACGTAATAAGGGTTCAGTGTCAGCACCTAAATACACAAAATTCAAAATGTTATAATTATCAACTACATATATATAAAATATTTCGAACCATATAAAATCTGCAATGTTTGTTTGCGATCCCTTATTATGAACACATCAGTCAGTTCATCCGAATTGAAATCTCCAAAGGCAGCCACAATGCCTGGAAAGCAAGAGAAGTTAATAAAAGTTCCAAATGCAACAAATTATAAAGAAAACAATTACCTTCTTGGACATTGCCAAAGACCTGGGGAGTCACATCATTGGCTTGGACGGCCACTGCCACAATAGACAAAAAGCTTAAGACGCTTTTAAGATTAATAATCATTTTATTCGAATTGTTTGTTTTTTTTTACAAGGAAAATCTGTTATTCATTTTTTCTTTCTTCGTAGAAAAAATGTCTCCTCTGTGCAGAGTGTTTTTGTTTGGTTTTGCTCCAGCAAATACCAATTTTTTTGTTATAAATTTAAAGTAATTTATTTGTTTGCTATATCTACTTAGTTAATTTTTAATTTTGTTGGCGAAATTAATGAAATATTCGATAAAAACTTATTTTTTTCACAAAATGAGTCAATATATGAGAAAGAGAAAACAACAATGGATGAGCAGAGCAGCTGTAGCAGGGTTGCATTTGGCACACATCAACAAAATGTCAGCGCTCGGACGAATAAACACAACAAGGGCAAGGGTAACGCAATGGTTAAGGGCCGGGCGTTATTAAAAATCATTTTTTTCTCATTTTCCTCTCTGAGAGAATAAGAAATAAATGAATTTTGATTAAAATCAGAAAAATCCTTTTTATTTAATGTCTCCCGATTGCTATTAGATTTTTTCTTAAGAAAAGAACACCTGTTGCATTTAAAAGCAAACAAAGAGGATATTCGTGGGATTCTTATTGGCAAATGCACGTATTTGTATTAGGTAGCCCTTATTGAAATCAAAACAAAACGTGAACAAACGTTTAAAAACGTGCATATTTCATTTGCTAGGAGAAGAGAATCTTTTATATTTTAAATTAAAAGAATTAAAAAGAAACAAAAAAAAAAAAAAAAAAATAAACGAAGATACTGAAATATGGTATATAATTTAAACTATCTTTGTAATTTCAATGACAAAGTGAAAGATGAAGGTAAATGGTCGACAAAATGTTTAACGAAACACGTTAAGATCTTTCGCTTCCCTTCCAGATTTGTCCCATGAATCACTGCAACGTATTTGGTCTGGAAAATGGTGCAGTGCGGGGTTCGAGTCCTCCCTAAAGCAATGGTGGTCGAAGAGGGATGCCAAAGAAGACTATTCACAAGAAGAGTGTGAAGAATTCATATGCCTAGCTATCGAATCGCTTTTGATTTTTATGCAACAAAATTTCACTGGACCTTTTTGTGATCTGGCAGAGTTGGAAGGTTTCGTCAAAGAAATTCAACCCCTGGTGGGTGATGCTTTTGTAGAATTAAAGGAAAATGGCGAAGAAATAAATCCCAATGTGGTGTTGGGTGAATTTCTACTGTTGAGCAGAGATATTCTAAAGAAACTATTGGAATTCCAACCGGAATCTGTGGTCTTACATTGGTGGCATTTACGTTATTTGTGTACCCATCAACATGTTATTGATGAGTTGACAGCAAATTTATATGACAAACTGAAAATAGAAGCCGAGTGGCTACTGCAACATGTCTCGGAGCTGGAAAATAAGGAATATGAGGCATTACTTTTCTTGGAAATTGCCAATGGTTATTTACAATATCATCGCGGTGAGAGGGCAGGTGAAATTCTGGAAAGGCTTTGTGCGCATTTAAATGTTGAAATGGTGGTTCAGGGCCTAATGGGTGTACGCACAAAATTCCAACAAAAGGCCCTGCCACAACTTTGCCTTAAAGTAGAACAAACCCATAGCGATTTGCTGCCCAAGGCCCAGGAGACAAATAGCAAAACAGTGCTACCCAAACTATTGCTACATGAGGACGATACCCGTTTGGAACGTATACGTTTTATTGAGGAGAAAGACAATGAGGTGATGACATTGCCCAGTGTCCTGCAAGCCTTGGTTTTGTCCAAAGTGTAAGTTTATCTTTTTAATGGAACAATTCAAAATTTAAAAGCTTTCTTTTTAGACGCCAATTGAAACGTTCCCAGCCCAAAGATCGTTTGGCCGATGAAGAACTGGAACCCTATACGCATACCTTGATCTACCAGGAACATGGTCCTTTGCAGGTGCGCCAGTCAGCTCTGCTGCTGAATTGTGTACAAGAATCCAATTCGAGACGTACCATTGAGCGTAGCTGGAAACAATGCGAGGAATGTGTTAAACTTCTCTCCGAACATTCCTATTCTGTACAAGAAAGATTCTCCTATGCATTTGCTGGATTCCTACAACCCAAATGGCAGGTTCAATCCCAACTCTGTGAGTTATTACTTTCGCTGGGTATGGTGAAATCGGCATTGGACATCTATTTGAAAATACAGGCCTGGGAGCAGGTTATTTACTGCTACACACGTCTGGAACTGAGACACAAGGCTGCGGAGATTATTGAACAGGAACTGCAGAAGAAACCAACGGTGTTACTTTATTGTTTACTTGGCGATGCCACCGACAGCTTGGAGTGTTATGAAAAGGCTTGGGAATTTTCCAAACATACCAGCGGCAAAGCCCAGGCCCACTGGGGTAATTACTATTTCTTCCACAAACGTTACGAGGAGGCCATACCACATTTGGAAAAGTCGGTGGAAATTAATTCGCTGCAAGAAAAAATCTGGCTACGTTTGGGTTATGCTGCCATTATGTTGGAGAAATGGGAGTTGGCGGTACATGCCTACATTACCTATACCCATTTGGAGCCTTTGGGTTTTGAATCATGGAATAATTTGGCCAAAGCTTTGATAAAACTTGGCGACAAGCAAAGGGCCCATAAAGTACTGGGAGAGTCTTTGAAATGCAACTATCACAATTGGAAGGTGTGGGAGAATTTCATGGTTGTCTCGGTCGATACGGGCCATTTTGAGGATGCCATGAATGCCTATAATCGTTTGTCCGAATTGAAAACCCATTATTTGGATTTGGAGGTACTTTGCATAACAATGACTGCCATAGCCGAGGGAAAACCAGATGCCAAGGGCCAAACACCGGAAAGACTGTTGCGCAAGGCCACCACACTAATGGGCCAACAGTGCATAAAACATGGTTCAGAACCCAAGGTATGGGAATTGGCAGCCCTCTTGGCCGCAACACCTTTGAAAAAGGCCGATAAATTAGTCAAGGCATTCAGGGCCTATACAGCCAAGGAATTGGTTTGGACCACAAAGCAAATGTATGCCAGAAGAGCGTTGGAATTATGCGTAGAGTTGTCCCAAAGATCCTTGGAAGCCATTGAAAATCATGCCGAGGACGAAAGTGAGGTAATGATAACATCCCAGTTGAATTCAGCCCGTCTGGCCAATCAGGCATGCATCCGAGCCATTGAAAAGGAGCCAACAAAATTCCCCGAAAATGATGATTTGTTGGAAAAAGTTCGATCACTGCTGGAAGAAATGACCGCGCATGTTAAACAAAGAATGGGAGCGTGATAAAAAAAATAAAGGGAATATTGAAAAAAAGAAAACATTACAAAAATAAGAAATCTGAATTAATTTTTGTTCTCAATAAAAAAAACGGATCCGAGGATGGTACTTGACAATTTTTAAAACAAATTAAAAAAAAGTAAAAAATATTCTAAAAATCTGTGGTTTAAAGTCGCCCAATAATCAGTCATTGTCAGATTTTGAAAAATATTTAAGATACCCTCCAGGGACAGGATAACAGATTGTCCTTGAAAGGCGTTCTTTCATCAGTTTATTTTTTTTAATTTTTTTTTTTTTTATTAAAAACAATAAAATTATTCTAATATAAATTAAGCTTCGTTGTCACCAATACCCTTACACTCTGATCGAAGGCACCACAGACGGCCAGACCCATTTTATCGGGATGCCAATCGAAACAATGAACCGGTTGAGTTGATATCGTTGTGGCATTGAGCATTTCAAGTGAACCCACCACTCCAATGTTATAACCATCTGTATCCTCTTTCAAACGTTTCTCGGGATACTGATAATTCCATAAACGCAGCGAACCGGTACCGCCGCATGTTACAAATATATCACGATTTTGCGGTAAATGTCGTACACACCAAACAGTGGCCTTTGGTCCTGTGATAATGCCATTCGAACCGACCGAACGACCGGCATTACGTTCCTCCAAACACGAAAACCCTTTGGAGGGATGTTGGGTACGCATATCATACACGAGCAGGCCACCTTCCAATGTGGTCACAACCATTTTATTCATGGCAATATCACGACGATCAAATTCTATGCCACATATGCCATTTTTCAGACTCGTTTCCCAGCGTACGCAGAGTTGGCGTAAATCGAAAAGTTTCAGATCACCATTATCATAACCGGCTGCCACGCTACGTTCCTCGTTGTTATAGCTATCACCAAATGCCACTGCCCAGCAGTCCCTTTTGATGTTGTTTGGTGTTGGGCCATCCGAGTCTGGTGTCATGTCCACAACGGGAGCCATGCCCTGACGTATATCCCATACCTTCACCGAACCATCACGACTGCCGGTGACAATTTCCGGTGCTCCACAATTATTTTGTTTCCCCCCAATGGCATCTATGCAATTTATTATACTCGAATGGGCCTCAACATTGTACACTGGAATGTCGGGACGTTCCAAATCCCTAGAATAATACAAAATTTAACGTGTTTCTTTTATCACAAGAGAAAAGAACTTGACATGACTTACAAAACCTGCAATCGCCCCTGAAAGTCCCCAATTGCCATGTGACGATTTCTCAGAGACGCCGCACCAAAACTGCCACACTTGAAGGCTGTCTTTTTCTCAATTGTCTTCAACTTTTCCAGCTTATTTTCATTCAGTTCATAGATTTCCAAAATACCCTGGCCATTGGGCTTGGAGCCTAGAACTGTAAATTTAGCCGAACATGGTATCCATTTGGTGTCATACACAGTATAGTTCACAGACTGTTGCAGATGTTCTATCATCTGAGGTTTGTCCATTTTGAATTAATTTGCTTCCGTTTCTCTCTCTCTCTGACCAGTTCTTTTTTGTAATTTTCTAGAAAATTTGTTTTTTGGGAGTTTGATCGATTGCCTACTTGTTTTGTTTGTTTTCCGGTAACCAGGCAACAAGTTACACGGGACCATTCCAAACATACACAGACTTCAAAGCTCACACTAGAAAATTGACGCCGCCGCACTCTCCACCGGCGAAACAGGTAATCAAGTAGAAATGGGTGATAAAAGTTTAAAATCAAAACAAATGGACAATTTTGTAATAGGGCTCTCTAATTCAACAAAATTAAATTATTAGGGTTCTTGAGATCGAATTTAGTTGAGAAAACAAGTGGTTGGGTGGAACTTGTTATGGACGTGTGTCAATGCCCTTACACATAAATTAATAAAATAAATCATGGTTAAGCGTGATTTTTTAAGAGCTACAGGAAAGTTTAAATAAATATTTTTTATTACCATTCGGATGTAGTTTTTTTCTTGAGAAACTTTGCTGCATATATTATGTGTGTGGTAGGTGTCTGTCAGTATGCATTCTTTTCAGAACTTCCACGTTTGTAGTGTGAGAAGTATAGAGTATCTTTAAGATTCGTTGATATATCCACATTTTATTTTACTCAATTTTCTTCTCGTCTGCATTTCTGAAGGTCTAGGAAACACTGGACATTTACATATTCTTGATAACAAAGTACATATACAGGGTGAGATGAAAAAACTGCAACCAACTTCAGACTGCTGTCATTTCTAAGCCACTCGTCTGACAGCTATTAAAATTATTCCAGTGACAGCTCATTATATTATTTACAAGCGTAGAAAAGCATATTGGTGAGAATTTTCCAAAAAAAAAAAGTTATTCGTGATGGATGGATTCAAGCATGATAGTGTGATTTCTTTATATATGGCTGGAAAACCACAAGTGGCTATCGTTAGAGTACTTCAGCATTTAAATGCGAATAAATCTTTTGTGTTTCGAACCATTGCTCGTTAGCTAAGAGATGCTTCGCTTGGCCGAAAGTAGTGAAGTGTCGAATTTGGTTTTCTCCGATGAGAAAACATTCGTTGTCCAGCTGTTTGTAAACAAACAAAATGATCGTGTTTACTTGCCAAAGAGGTCAGCTGAAGATGGCCACCGGAACTCAAGCGCCGGCCATGGTGATGGTGTGGGCCGCCATAACAGCCGATGGTCGCTCTCCGCTTGTATTAATCGACCCTGGATTCAGGATAAATTCCGAATATTACCGCAAAAATACTCTGGAGGGTATATTAAAGCCTTGGGAACGTAAACAAGAGGTCAGCTAAAAATGTGCACCTTCGCTGACCACCAAAACTCAAGCGCCGGCCATGGTGATGGTGTGGGCCGCCATAACAGCCGATGGTCACTCACCGCTCGTATTAATAGCCCGCGAAAATATTCTGGAGGGTGTATTAAAGCATTGGGCACGCAAACATTTTGGCCGCAGACCTTGGGCATTCCAACAGGACACAGCACTATCGCACACAGCACTCAGCACTTTAATTGGCCGTAATTCGTGCCAAAGGTGACCAATTCGAACAAATCTAAACTTATTCTAACATTTGATGCTATTTTCGACATTTTTTGCTTTCATTCAATAAAATTTAAAAAAAATGTAAAAATTATGCCGTTTAACTTTGTTGCAGTTTTTTTTCATCTCACCCTATATACTTGTTTTCTTTTTAATCGTTAAAAAAAAACACAGCAAATGACGTAAATCCTACTTCTTGCTACTTTTTGTTTACTTCTCAATTTTTTTATTTGTTCTTTCCTTTGGTTCATCATGAAATTTCTATTGTTCTTTTGAATATACTCTCTTCGTAAAATGATCGACTGTAAGCAAAGCATTTGGCTCTGAGAAAATTTGTCTTTTCCTCTCATTTCCTGACATTTTTTGTCTTATTTCCTTATTTTTTCCCTTATTTCCCTTTACAATTCTATTTTATCTTTCATTTACAATTCACAACCCAATTAATTACTCCATGTGAACCACCCTTTCTAAAAGTGCAATTTTCTAAACTGGCAACACCTACTGCTCGTTACTATCCAACAGCTGTTGTTTCCCCAACAAATTGTCAAATTTGTTTGGTGTTAGTGATACGTAATTCACTCACTCACTAATGCCTCAGTCAACATTTTTCAATTTTTCGCGAAACATTCAGCTGTGCGGACTGTTTAGCTAGAATTTGATCTCTCTAAATTTCCAAAAAAAAAAAAAAAATTAAAAGAATAACCTTGGAATTGAAAACAACAAAAAAGTGGGTTTCTTTAGAGAAAGTGTTATTTGTTGTCGTGGTTTTTTATAAAAAAGAACAAGATATATAAACAAAAATACAATATTTCTATTTGCAATTATCGTAACAATTTTTTGTGTGATTCTCGTGTTTTTTTATTTATTTCAATTTTCCCTTTTTCTTGTCAAATACTTACGTTCTATTTCTAAACTGCCACTAACTGGCTGATATTAGTTTTGTTTCCCATCCGTCTATTTCACCCCAACACATAATTCCTTCCGATAGTATCGAAGAAATCATCAAACGGTCAACATCGGTCATTTGAAGCGCAACGGTGTGTTCGAATGAAAAAGGAAGGTGCTAGAGAGAAAAAGTGAGAGGGAGAGTGAGTGTGAGTGTGGATTTGTTGTGAGTGCGTGCCTATTGTTTGCTAATTAGTCATAACGTAATTGTAGTGCAACCGCAACGCATTATTTGATTTGTTTTTGAGTGTTTTCATTACGGAAGGTGATTGATTATGGGGACAAATTGATGTAAAAACGCAGTGGAAACGTGATTTTGAAAAAAGAAAAAATACAAGAATATAATAAATACTAAGGTGCTTTACAGTGATTTAAAAAAATAATCATATTTTGAGAGAAAATTAAAAAAAAAAAAAAATATTAAACCTAAAGAAAATTATTAAAATATTAAAACCATTTTAAAACTGGACTATTTACCCAAATCTTTCTTATATAAAAAAAAAAAAAATAAATAAATGCAATTTTCTTCGATATCATAAAGGGAAAATCGGTCATTGTAGTAAAAACTTGCAGTACTGGAAAAGGAGGTAGAATTCATTTAGAAATCTAATTCCGAATTTTTAAATAATTTCGGTAAAAAGTGTGGGTAAAATCATCAAAATACCGAATATAGGGAGGTACCGTTATATGGAAGGCTATACGAAGATGTGGATCTGAACACCCACTTTTTTGTCAAAGGAGGTAGAACCCATTGCGAACTCCTAATTCTAAATTGGAAATCATTCTGGTGAAAAGTGCGACTGAAATCATAAAAATACCGAATATTGGGGGGTACCGTTATATGGGAGGCAATACGAAGATGTGGATCTGAACAGTCAATTTTCTGTCGAAGGACGTAGTATCCATTACGAACTCTAAATTCTTAATTTGAAATAATTCCGGTGAAACGTGTGGCTAAAATTATCAAAATACCGAATATAGGGTGGTTCCGATATAAGGGGGCTATACGAATATGTCGGCAGAAAATTTTCTGTCACAAGGAGTTATACCCATTACGAATTCCAAAAACCAAATTTGAAACAATTCCGGTGAAATGTGCTGCTAAAATCATCAAAATACCGAATATCTGAGAGGTACAGTTATATGGGGACAGTACCAAAAGTTTGACCTATATGGACAGTTCTATGCAAGGATGTTGCCTACATAATGGGGACACAAACTGCTTATTTATAGCAAAATCGAGTTAAAATTGTGACTAAAACAACAAAAACAAACTAAATCTGCCGGATATAGTTATATGGGTGCCACCAAAACGAGGAAATATTCAATACTCGATTTTTACTAAATTTGCCTGAAAATTTGTGCCTTTTCAATTCGCACACATTTTGTGCACAAATAACATGAAATCGGATGAAGATATATATGGGAGCTATATCCATATCTGAACCGATAAACCCGATAAATTTAGCAAAGGTATTCCTGAGCTGTATTTGATATATTCCTCCAAATATCGTTGTTACAGAGGACATATTACGGCTGCGGAGAACAAAAATAACAAATCGCATGAACAATATATATGGGAGCTATAGCTATATCTGAACCGATTTCGATAAAAGTTGGCATTCTTTTTTTTAGGCCTAATTTGGGCGTATATGCAAAATTCCATACAATCTGGGCTGATATTACACATTTGGTGCACAATTAAAGTCAAATCGGACGAAGATATATATGTGAGCTATAGCTAAACATTGACCGATTATCTTGAATTTCAATAGGATTCGTCCTTGGGTCAAACAAATGGGTTGTGCAAAATTTCATCTGGATCGGGCAATAAATGCGACCTGTACTTTGTTTACAAAAAGACATGGACAGACAGATGGACGGACGGACATGCATAAATCGACTCAGAATGTGATCCCATGCAAATCCTTAAAAGGAACTATAGGACTATCTCGTTTCCTTTTGCCTGTTACAAACAAATGCACAAAGACATAATACCCTGATAAGCTTGTGGTGTAGGGCATAAAAAGGTCCTCTTTTGTAGATTTTTAGTGAAAATTGCAAAGATACAGCACTTTACGTTCCGTAGGAACATTGGTAATGAATAACAGAGAAAGACTTGATGGAAAAGTCTGGCAATGTTTCGGTTTTACTGTCATCAGTGATTACAACTTGGTTACAGTAACATTACGGCTTCTTTACGTTTGGTTTAGTTAATATTCACATGCCGTGGGAACTCTGTGTTAGTTTTCTTTGGGATGCTTTTGTTTTGAGAGTTCAATAATGAATGCGAAAAAGAGGGAGTATTGGAATTGTCAGTAGTAATAATAACCAATTGGATCTCAAGGGGCCTCCAAGGGGGCCAAAAATATTTTCTCGTTTCAATTTTTAAAAACCATATAGGTCTTCCTCAAGTTGATTACAACTTCGTTACAGTAACTTTACGACATCTTTACGTTTGGTTTAGTTAACATTCACATGCCGTAAGAACTCTGTGTTTGTGTGTAGAGAGTGATTGAGAGTGAGAGCTAGTGAAAAAATCTGTTTTTATTGCGATTTTACTGTCACAACTCATTATAACTTCGTTACGTAAACTTTACCGACACTTTACGTCTTCACTACGTTTTGCTTTATTTAATCGTGACAACCCATTAAGAACTCTGTGTTACTTTGCTCTGGGTGTTTGTTTGAGAGCTCAATAGTGAATGACAGTGAGAGCGAGAGAGAGATGG